TCCCTGTAAAGTAGCAAGTAGCCAGCCTCTTTCCACTTGCTTCCATTCCAAGTCTCTTGGGATGTAAGACACCTCTCCTGGCCAAAAAAATGATCAGTAGAGATCAAAAATAATAATTTAACCATTCCAGGGTATCCCAATGAAAACAAAACCATCCATGCTATTCCTCTACTTACCTTCCAAAGGCCTAAACTTGAGTGAAATGGAAAAGCGTTCAATCTCAATTTTACAGATTAAGCCACTAAAGTACTTAAAGATGAACTGGAGATTGAAGACATGAATCAGCTTTTCCAGAGGACCCAGATTTTTTTAATTCCAAACACCCACATGGTGGCTCACAAACATCTGTAAGTCCAGTTCTAGAAGATCTAAAATATTTTCCTGGCCTCCGAGGGCACCAGGCATGCACATGGTGCACAGATATGCATATAAGCAAAACAACTACACACAAAATAATTTTTTTAAATGAACTGGAGCAAGGTAGTGGTGGTGCAGGCCTTCAATCACAGCACTCGGGACAGAGGCAGGAGGATCTCTGTGAGCTCAAGGCAAGCCTGGTCTACAAAGTGAATTGCAGGACATCCTTGGCTATTACACAGAATAATCCTGTCTTGAAAAAAAATAAAAAAAAATGAAAAAAAAAAGATAACTGGAATTTGGGTACATTAGTACAAGGCATAGACTGAGGCAGGGGAATCACAATATCTAGCCTTAAAAAAGTTTTAATAAAGCTGAACCTGGCTGTGGAACAGAGAATTACTCAAGTTCCCCAAAGAGAATCCTTTCTTGTGACCAACAATTTGGCTACCTTTTATATAAAAGCAACCTTTAAATAGCTCCCTTATGCTTACAGCCCTTCTAAATTCATTACTGTTACTCATTACTAGTTCACCAGCATTAGTCAGCACAAGTTGGTTAGTCACCAGTTTTAAACCACCAACCATCCCCTCTCCTTTCTGTTTTTCCTTTCCCTTTGGTATTTAACAACATTTGAGAGGATGAGTAACTATACCCAAGAAACCCTGCTGGGCTTTTCTTGTCCATCTGTGGTCTAAACTGCAACCTGAGCCCAATTAGTAAAAGGAATGCAACTCTTCTTGGTCACATGCTTCTCCATGAAAAGGAGGACACCTGGGTTTTAGGGACTAACCTTCAGATTCAGAGTTTCTTCTGTGTGTTTTATTAGCAACAGCTTGCATATTCATGTGATTTATCACTTTTTTCACGTAGTAAGTATTTGAGTCCCATTCTTTCAACCGGGGGGGGGGGTGCCCTACTCTAGGAATGGGAAATGATCCATGACAGGGTTCCTTCCGGTTTTTAAAATTTTTGGTCAAGTAAGGTTCAACAAAACCTGCTCCAACTTAACTTTTCATCTACAAAGCCTTCCCCAACCCTGTCATTACCATATCCAGCATACTGGAGTGAAAGAAAAGGGCCCGACGATGAATAATCCCTAGAGACCTTGTGGGGTATATCTGCCTCAAAGCAAATGCTCCACCAGAAACAGAAACGGAAGAAAAACTCCCAGAACCACAGAAGTTACCTATCAGTTTCTCTACTCTCTGGAATCATTATCCTTCCTAAACCATCCTACACCCTCTTCTCTCCCCAAGGGAGACCCCAACCTAAGGTTAGCTATTGTACTCTCAGCACCTAGCATTCGGATATACACACTAAGTATTTGCAAAGCCAAATCTTGACCTCCCACCTTCCCTTTAAGAAGACTGGGAGCAGGTTCTTCACCTACCCACACTCGTGGTTCCTTTTCTACCATCCCAGCAGCCTGGCACAGCAAAGGTGTGACAGTGAAAACAAATGACGATGCAATGTTCTCCAGTGAAAGCAGCGGTAATAAAAGCACTATCGAGAACTCCCAGTTTTCCTAATGTTTACAATACTAAGGCAATCTGTTATTGCAAGGACATCACTTAGTTCTACATGGACAAATGCCATCATGAACTGCATGGAATTGTAAATTGTGCTTTAGGAAAATGCTATATTGAACCAAGGGAGGATTTTCACATGTTACAACACTATGACAGGACAGTTTCTCCTTACATGTCTTAGCATACATAAAACCTGCAAATAGCAAAAAGCAAGAAGCCCCTTCATGTGAACTCTAGCAAAATATTCAATTAATTGCTCGTCTCTCTCCTGAAATAAGGGCTAAAATAAGGGTAAGCTGTAAAATAAGACAAGAGGGTAGAAATCTATGGTGAGATGCACAGGCATTTGTTAAAACAAGTCTATATATGACAGCAAGGTAGTGGGGCACATTCATACTCATAGAATTCTTCAAAGATTGATCATGTATTTTTTTAAAGATACATACACATAGCCAGCCATGGTGCATGCCTTTAATCCCAGCACTCCGGAAGCAGAGTCTGATCAGCCTGGTTTACAGAGCAAGTTCCAGGACAGCCAAGCTACACAGAAAAACCCAGGCTTGAAAACCAAAAAATAAAAAGACACATACACAAAATGCAACAGACTTAGTAACTATCTCTCTAATCCAGAAGAGATGGCATACACTCAGGAGACTGACGTACAAATCAAGTCTGAGGACAGTCTAGGCTACATAGTAAGACCCTGCCTCAAACAAAAATAAATGACTCTTCGAATTATTTCTTCTGGGCCTATCATGGGCTCATACCTGTAATCTCAGCACTTGGAAACTGAAGCAGGATGATTGCTCGGAATCCGCAGCCAGCCTGGATTACAGTGAGACAGTGTCTCAAAGGAAAGTTTCTTCTGGAATACATCAGTCAATGGGGCTCATGGCTCCTACCTATCACCCTCACTTTGGAGGATGATTGGTCATGATCCTCACCTGACTGGAAGAATAAGAATCAGCTGACTAGCCTATCAGCTGTCAGGGCTTTAGGAAAGCATTTTCTCCTTCTCGTTGTCAACAGGAACAAAGCAGGTATCACTGCCACAGACTTGCTCCTACTGTGACCCTGGGAACCTTTTGCAACTTTCCTACTCCCTCAATGATTTGGGGGAGTCCCTGCCTTGTTATTATCCTAGGAGGACATCGAAAAAGAAAGGCACACAGTCCAGACAGGAAGAAAGCATTCTCTAGCACTAGCACAACCTCACCTTAGAGACATCCCATTAAGCAGCACAAGGAAAAAGTGGCCCTCCAGCACTCTAGAACCGCATGTGCTTCCCCAATAAGAGACAGAGAGGACAAAGGCAGATTTTTCTCACAGATTCTATTTGCCAGGCACTAAAGTGCCTGGGAGAACAGGGATCACCCCAGATGCTATAAGAGCATGCCTAGTCCATTTGCTTATAAAATGCAAAAAAAAAGTGTAGAAATAGAGAAAGGGACAGCATTTCAATTCTTCCCCAGTGGGTATGTTTCTTGAAGTTTTTGATTCTGTAACAACACTTCTCAGACTTAAAATCAGATCACAGAGCCTACTATCAACATGCTTTCTTTGGAGGCAGGCCTATCTCTTCTCTGAGTTGGAGATAAAATCCATACAGAAGACTTGTGAAAAAACCCCACAGCACCCAGTGGGAAAACCCAGTACAAGCCCCAATGAACTCATAAGTCACCAATCCTTTCCTGGCTGCAAGAGCCCCTATTCTTGCCCTGTCCCTTTGCCTCCTATTGCCTGCAATACATTCTAGTGAGGCCCAGACAACTGCAGGAGAAAATATCACCATTTATCATGCTCGCCAGGTAGCAACTGAACTGCTTTCATCTGCCCCTCTAGCGTACAGTCTGGGAAAATGTAATTCTAAGAAGAGCCCAACAGGCATGTGGGGAGATGGATATGGGAGGAATGTGAATCTAAACCACTTACACTAGAATTTCAGATAAGTGGCTTCCATATTATCCAAGCAGGAATATCCTATATTAAAAATCACACACGGAAATTCCATTTATCATGTGTGACTCGATTTGATTTCTCTATGTTCTCTATATGTTAACTTTCCAAGAAAGGTTTTCAAAAGAACATTTGAGAAAAAGCAGCAGTAACTTCACAAATGAATGAAGAAAATGTGGTTGAGGGTACACACCCATGAACACATCACATACACATACACAGTGTGGGGGGATTGTACTCAGTCTTAAAAAGGCAGAAATTTCATCATTTTCAACTAACAGATGAACCTGGAAGACATCATGCCAATTAAAACAAGCAAGACAGAAGCAGACAAATATGCATGATTCCACTATAACGAGAAATCTAAAGTAGACACTCATTTAAAAACAAAGTAGAATGTGGTTGCTAGGAGATTGGGGGAAAGGGCTTTGTTTAAAGTGCACACTTGATTTTGCAAGGTGAAAACATTTTGAGATCCATGGCCCATCCAGGTGAACATGAAACATGATTATAGTGTACATTCAGATGACAAATCGACCTTACATTTATCTGTCATGGTAAAAGAAAAAAGACAAAAAAGTACCACCTTTGTTCTCCATTGTAGATTTGCTAAACCTGCATTTCAACATTTTGAAATTAAAAAACAAAAAGACAAAGATATTTGGCTGATGTCTTCTTGAAAATGAAACAGTAAGAATTAAGTTGCTTTGAAGATTCAAAACAAATCATTATAAAACATATGAAACTACTGCTTGGGACAAACTTTGTCATTTTAAGCACACATGACATTTTTACAGCAGGAAGAAGCCTGACATTTTTCTCAAATGGTATGCATGGTATGCTGATTTGGATTCTCAATCAAATGTGGCTTTTAGAAAAAGGATACATCACAAGACAGTCTTGGAAAGTAAACACTGTTGCTATTATAGCAAAGGCAGCAAAGTAAATCATTCATTTGTGGACAGAGAGAGGGAGGGTTAGTCAAACATTATTAGCCACATTCCCACTGTTTCATTGCTTCAAGCCTGGGTTCCCCCTCTACCACACCTCTTCACTGAACACTGATCCATCATGCATTTCTCTGAATTACACAAGTCACTCTTGTTATGAACAATAATCAAGAGCTAGTGGAGCAAAAAAGCCAAGCAAACTTACCTAAGCCTTCCTCTTGAGACTTCAAATTGCTTGCTAGATCTTGGCATGCTCTATGCTGTTGCTCCCGTCACAGCAATGTTGTACACATTTCTATAGCCTAGAAATCACAAAATAAGTCAGTTTCCCAGTAGACTGGGAATCCCTAGCATTGGGGTTCTAAGATTCACAAACACACTCTCCAGAACATTTACCCAGATTACTTATTTAACTATGTGAAGCCATGAACAAGACAGGAAGGGTATTTGCTTAGTTTGTGATATGTACACCCCTTATTATGTTGTAAGACAAAACACCGAAGTAAAATTGCTTTCTGATATGTATATATGGGGATGCCATGATTTTTCCTACTTCAGCTCTGTCTCAATGAAGAAATACCCGCTGCCACTCCCAATAATATGGAGCTCGGCCCCAGAGGTACAAGAGAAAAAAACAAAAGCCTATAATGGTATTACCCTGGAAAGCCTTCAGTGGAGATACTAGCACAAGAAAAAGCTGTAGGAGGTGCCTATTGTGTATCACACTACCAGGAGTCTGAGGAATAAAGACAGAGACATGGAGAACAAGGCTTAAGGATGCAAAATGAAATGCTGAGGATGTGGGTGACTGGGCAAGCACTTGGATGACATGCACAAGGCCCTGCTGGTTCTCTCCAGCACCAAAGTACAGTAGTATATGATAAACAGTTCAAAAATTAGGAGCAACATGTGTACCCCAAAGCTGCAAAGAGGAAGGAGGTTGTGTCCCTAGAGATACTGTTTAAATTACTGACAAGAATAATTCGGGACAATTTCTGCTGCTTATAGCCAGCACTCCAGTGCTTGAGTAAGAGCCTTGAGTGAAAGAGCAAAGTCCACTCTGGTGTCATCTCCACTGAGGAGGCAGAGGTAGAAACACTATAGAATTCAAGGCCAGCCTGGGCCATAATTACATCCAAGAATGTCTCAAAAAAGCCAAAACTAAGGAGTAAGGAGTTGGCGACAATAATAATTCTCCATCTTCCTATCAATAGCAAAAGAAATCTCAGGCTTCCTCACTTAATGGTTAGAGTATGCACAGCTTCATCAGGGGGATGATGTACATGTCTTATTTCTTAATTTTTTAGTTGTCTGATAAAACTGTTATCTATCCTATACAGCATCATGTTCTAAAGTACACATCCTGTGTAATGGTTAACTATAGTTAGTTGCCAAATGCCTTTCTTTATACAGCTAGTAGCACTTTTGTGGTGAGAACACTAATTAACATCCATGCTCTTTGAGTTTTGCATTACAGCACCCCATCTACAATAGACTCCATTGCCTTGCTCTTCCAATCTAGCCACATGACTCTGGTCATCACTACAACCCATTAGGCACCTAGGCAGCCACCGGTACATTCTACTTCAGTGAGGACTATTTTTCATGCTGGGTGATTTAGAATTTACAGATCTAAATCTCAAGGTAACTTCTGGATGTGATAATTAAACAAACTCCTCTTCTCTTCCCTTCTTGCCTGCTGGAAAGAGGTCACCTCACCATAATAAAAAAATAAGAAAAGCAATTACCAAGAATGAACAAAAGAGTTCACGGTCACCCACTGATGGCAGGAACAAATGACTTCAATGGAAGTACATGAGGGGAAGAAATAAAAGGAAAAGAAGAGGAGGTCACCATGACATGGACTGAATGAGGACAGGAATGAACAGGGATGTATACAAGAAACCTTGCTTTTTATGTTGAATGAGTTAATCTATCTTGTATCAAATCTTTCCTCAGGTTCTTCTGCACACAAAAGTGCTTTGAAACTTTAACGCACCCACCATGTGATACAGTAGGACCTCTCCGTACAGTTCTCAGTTCTCAATGTCAAACTGACCTCATTTTTTAAGTTATTTAATACCAAGTAAGCACTCTGGACAGTGAGACACCAGCATGGTCATCTCAATGACTGTAGCTATGACCACCATCCTCAAGTGAGCTACTACATATTGACCAGACAACAGTAGGTTTTACTGGCCCAACTTCTCTCTCCTCACAGCTCCAATGCCTCTCGCTGTCAGCTTAGCAGCTAACTTTCCTTAGCCAGGTGCATCACTACAGACTTCTTAACCAAAAATAATAATGGGGAAAAAAACCCTCAGGAACCCAATGGATGAAGAAAGTAGCAGATTAGTCTAGAAAAAAAAACGTATTTAGAATGAATGAGAAGGAAAAGAGAAATTAAGCAAAAGTTCAGAGAAAAGGGGAAAGAAGCTTAGCTCCAAAGCCAGGCACAATAGTCCAGGGCTCCTTGTATTTGTGTCCTTCTGTAATCCCCTATTAAATGCTTTTGCTAACTTTAAATGATTAGAGCAAAAGTAACCTGCTAGTTATAGGCCTAATCTTAAGAAAGGTTGGTGGGGTGGTGAGATGGCTCAGCAGGTAGAAGTGCTTGCCATTCTATCCTGATAAGTCTTGAACACACACACACTTACTTACATGAGTAATACATTTTCAACTGTGCTTTATTTATTCAATTTTAAAAAGGCTGGCAGCTTCCATTTTTCTGCAAGCCTTTGAAGAACTCTGCTGAAAAGATCACATACGAAGGCACAATTAGTGGGTTTTTGGGGAAGGGGGAGATTTTGAGACTGGGATATCCTGTTCCCTTCACTGAGATCAGCCTTTCTTTCAGCAATCTATATCAATGGCACCAGGCTTATAGATAAGTCCCAGATGCTACGACTGCAGCCTCATGATAGACGCTAAGAAAACCAAGCAGAGCAGGAAGATGATTCAGTTAATAGCTTCTCACCTAAGTCATAACCCACGTAAAAAGATGAACATGGCACCAGGAAAATGCAATCCCAGCACTGGGGAGGCAGACATGGGTGGTTCCCATAAGCCAGGTCCAGGTTCAGTGAGAAATAGTGTCTCAAAAGATAAGATGGAGCACAGTCGAGGAAGACACAACCTCAGCTTCTGGCCTCCACATGTCTGTGTACACACCCTCATCACAACATGTGGAATATGCCTCTTAGGAAAGTGCAAAGACTTTAGACGTTAAGCAGCAAGAGTACAGAAGGAACCTTAATCCTGACTGTGCACTATAAAGACTCAGGCAATTTAAAAGTGCACTTCAAAACACACAGACCCCATACCCACCTTGGTGGTAAAATCATCAGAAATTCAAGGAGCAGTGTATTTTTAGCAGGCTACAAAATCTTAGATGGACCTAATTGCAGTCATGAGATTAGAACATTAGGAGTGGATGACATTGAAAAGGAAGGGGGTAGTCACATAGCTCCAGTGGTAATGCCCTTGCACTGTATGAAGACCAGAGTCCAATCCTTAGTGACACACACACAAACAAAAAGCATAATTTTATGTAGTTTAAAATCAAAAGGGATTATGTGGCTCCCCAACCTATCAAAAAAAAGAAATAAAACTCAGGTGAAAGACACCCCAAGATTCATGTTGCTTCTTGTTTGTTTTAAACAAACTCATGACCAAGGGCTACTTGAGGCCTGAGGTTATAGCTTAGTGGCACATGCCTTGCATGTGTGAAGCTCTAGGCTCAAATCTCCATCACCTATATAGAGAATGAAAGCAATACAATTAGTGCTGAATTTCATCTGAAGAACATACTATGGAACTGACATATTATGAAGAGAAATGGAATGTCATTGCTTTTTTCAACTTCTCTAGTGATTTTATTCAAACCCAATAATGGAAAAATCACTCAAGACAACATTTTAAATCACACTTAACAAAAAGCAGTCTCAGGGCCTGAGGCTTGAAACTTAGTTGGTAGGTAGAGTGCTTGCTTGGCAGACATGAACCCTGGATTCCATCCATGGCACCACATACAGCAGTCATGGTGGTGTATATACATAATCCCATCACTCTGGAAATGGAGAAAGGGAAATTTAAAGAATTCAAAGGCATCCTCAGCTAGTTAGTTTGAAGCTAGCCTGAGCTATGACACTGTCTCAGAAAGGGAGGGAGGGAGGGGTCAGACAAGACTTTTGTTTCCCTTATTTTCCATTTTCTGTGCAAAAATCATTTCTTTTTAAGTGTCACTGCTTCTTGCTTTATTTTTCAATTTCTTTTCCTATAGAAAATAGGTTGTTACTATAGCAATATTTTTCCTACCCTGGTATAATTTCCCACTCATTTCTTCTAGGAGTTTCTGCACAGAGCAAGCACACAAATCTGTTCCAAGCTGCTCACAACATTAGGATCCTTGGCAACATCTAGAGATGAATATATCTTCAAATTATGGGAATGGTTAGCCAAATGCCACAGTTCTGAACGTCTCTGAAGTACTATCTGGGCTATATGTATCCCAGATACGTCAATTCTTAAGGCATCTCTATCCTAAAACTACAGAAGGCTCCAGCAGTTAACTTGCTAAATGAGCTCGTCAGTCCTCCAGATTGAAGCTAACTCCATTAATTCCCCGAAAACAGTTACAAACAAAAACAGTATAATCTTTACATGATTTTGAGAGTGTCTTTAGGATGACACCAGGAAGAAGTTATGTATTCACATGTACATGAACTTCAGTTTCAATTCCTAGTGACTCAGAAAAAAAAAATAAAACAACACACATTTGACTAATAAAATTACACCTTTGTCCAATAAAGCCAGTATCTGGTAAGAACATCACCTTCAGGACTATAAGAAGGATCCATTAGTTGGAAGAAACAGATGCACAAAGCAGCAAAGGTCATTTAACCAATGGTCAGGGCTTTTATACAAACACATAATTTGGCAAAATATTAAGTGGCCTCTGTTCTAAAGAAAAAAAATCAAAATGTACAAAGTTCTTTTCCCAACCATACATGCACACCTACAGACCACTTCCTATCTATACTATTGGTACCTGGGAAGCTCTACCTTGCAGCACAGAATACCATGAATAGCTGCTTCCAAGTACATACCCATTTGGCTCCATATAGCATAGTTTGTATTAAAACCAAGCGGAAACCTTAGGATGGCTGCGTATCTGGAAATTTGTAAAGAATTTAAGTTTTATTCATTCAGTGTCCACACTGTCCTGTCAGTGAGCCAAGTCTCTTGACCAACGATCAACACAGAGAAAACAATAACAAGATTACTATCAAAGACAAAGAACAAATACAAGGAAAACCTTATTTTGCAGTTCAACACTGAACAGATCTGTTTCAAAGACTCAAGTATCATGTGTTAAGCTACTTTGACTGCTAAGTCTGCTCTTTTAAGTGTTCCAGTAAAACAAGCAATACCAAACACCAGCATGAATTCACTTTTTAAAAGCTTTTTTAAAAACTGCTTCTAAATTTTTACTGTTACAACTATGCCTAATTCTAAAGGTTGCCCATAGCAAGTTTTTATGATGTTAACTACTAGTATTTATTATGGTCACATTAAAAGAGGCAATGACACATCTGAAATTCCCACGCCTGAGTGGTTAAGGTAGGAGGATGACTTTGAGATCTTCTTAGGCTACACAGCAAGTTCCAAGCCAGCTAAGGCTTGACAGCAAGACAGGTTTATAAAAAGGCAATTATTTAAATCCAAAACGAAAATGTTGTGGGAGTGTATCCAGGGCCTAGGTTTGAATTTCTAAACCAAAAATATTGTTTCCTAAGAACCACCTATAAGCATGCTATCCAGACTTACTATGCATGATGTTCTTAAGGATGTTAAAATGCAGAAAAATGCATTCTGAAATGGGCCCCATACAAAAAAAAATAATGTAACAAAAAAGCTTATTAAAAACACTTTAAATAACAGAGACTATGTAACAATCATCTGACATCATTTCAAAGCTGTGTCTCTCCAAACTTTGACTCAAATGAAAATAGAATTGAAAAGCGGGCCTTTCTGATGTTTAGGACCACCATCATGAATGCTATCATTATTCCTGACATCTGTTGACACTTTTGGTCTTTAGCAGTGTGGTGATGAAGTAACAGGGCGCCAACTAAGGAGCAAGAAAGAGAGCATGCCTCAGCAGAGGATCCATCAGTACCTTGATTTTAGACTTGTCATTTTCTTATTATTTACAAATTCCCGATATTTTCTTTTTTGTGTAAGTATGTATACATGTCTGTGTGTGTGCATGTGGAACAAAGCTCAACTCCAAGTATCCTACTCAGTTCTTTTCCACTGTATTTTTAAACAGGGTCTCTCCCTGAACCTGGAGTCAGCTAGGCTGTGTGGCCATTCAGTTGCAGGGATGTGCCTGTCTTCATCATCCCAGCATTTAGGATTTTGATAGCAGTCCTTGGAACTTGGTGCCAGAGATTTTAGATCAGTTCCCAAATAAATACATAGTTTGTAGAAAGGTTTATACTGAAGGTGTAGTTCAGTGACTGAGGGCTTGCTTAGCAGTATGACGATAGATCATCTCCAAAAACACAGCAAAAAATGAGTTTTATGAATATAATCATCAAATTCAACCTGTCTTTTGTGATTAGAAAATCCACAGCACTGTGTACATTTGAGGTAAAAAACCTAAAAAAAAAAAAAAAAAAAAAAAGTCAAGGTTCATCCAAATAGCAGCACCAAAATAGCACACTCAATTCCAGGGCAAAATTACTTCTCTGGAGGGAACTCACATTTGCTAGCTCTGTCTGTCTATCACAATGTGTCAGGCAAAGTGCACACTTCCCACAGAGTGTCTCCTCCATTTCAGAGGCAGCAAGTACCTGTGGACAGAGTCCCATTTCAAGATCAAAATCTGGATTCAAAACCAACCGGCTGGTAGCCCATACCAAGTGTGCTGTACTCCATGTTACTGAGCAAACAGCTGAGGTAAACAATGCTTATGCCCAGGAACTTGAAGCCAGCCTGGGGTAACACATTGAGACCTTGCCTCAAAACACAAACCAACTGGACAGCTGATTAGTGTTTGTTACTTTGTGTATGTGTACCTATTATTAGGTGTGTGTGTTTGCACAACCAAGCATGCATATAGAGGCCAGAGGTTAATGTTCAGTGTTTTCCTCAGTCCCTTTCCTTCTTTCACTGAACTTAGAAGCTTGAAGATTCCGCTAACCTGGTTGGCTAGCAAGCTCCAGGGATCAATCTTTAGTCTGCCTTTCCAGTACCGGCATCATAGGTATGTGTCACTACACCCAGCTTGTATGTGGACACTGGAGATTGAAATCAGGTCTTCATGTTTGTATAGCAATCATCTTATTGATGAGTCATTTACCAGACCCCTTCTTCTTATTATTTTATGTGTGTGTGAGCACATGTTGTGTACATGTATGTACAGGTCAGAGGGATAAACCTTGTAGAATTGGTTCTCTCCTTTTACCTCTACATGGGTTCTGAGTATCAAACTAAAGTCTCCAGGCTTGCATGGCCAGCACCTTTAATGCTAAGTCATCTTACTGGACCCTTAATCTTCATTATTTTGAGACAAGTTTTCTACATAGTTCAGCCTGCGTCAAATTTGCCATCCTCCTGCTTTATCATTCTAAGTGCTGATATTACAGACACATGCCACCATGCTCTAGGTTATCACTCAATAATGTCTCAGATTATCTTATCCCCTCCAGGTAGCAGATTATTAGTTTAACTACTGAGTTTCCTGAATTGAGTTGGACCTTTCTGATACCCTTTTTCCTTTGCTAAATTGTTTATCCCAGACAAAAGCTGTTTATTTAGCATTATCTTGACAATATAAAACTCAGAAACAACCTATGAGCTACATGATAATGATGAGAAAGACCCCTCATAAAGCAAGAAAACACAATGTAAAATTCAAAGAGCAGATCACTGTGATTACAGCAATGGGAAACTATAACATATACATGTAGACAAGTAAGAGATTACAAATTAAGATTTTGCTGGAATTAATCTTATTTTATCCTTTCTTATGAGTGTGTTAGAATCACACTGTTTCAATTATATACACAGTTGTCTTCAACTTTCAAAATGCAATGAGGGACACTTTGTAAAATAGTTTTAGACCTTATAAATTGGCAAAAGTTCAAAAACATACCTTAGAAGTTTCCTCTTTATTGTGCAATAAAGCCTCAGGGTCATTGGTTACTAGCAGCATGTCCTTGTGGAAGCTAACTACTCTGTACTGTTTCCTCATCCATAAAAAGATTTACTGTCTGCTTCTTGACCCATTTAGCACATTAAACAAGGCACTATAGAGAGCACCCGACTCATAGCTTTCTTTCATTGTAGCTAATATCACAGAAAACAGAAGTAATCATATCTCTTAGAGAAAGGACGTCAATGAAGCATTCACTAGAGCTAATAATCAAGGTAATTCAAGATTCTCAGCAATTCTTATAAAAGACAGGAGGACTGTGAAAGCACAAACCACTTTTAAAGACCCTCATGATTATACTGGGCCCACTTATGATATCTAAGATATTGTCTTTTAAAAGAGGAGGACAATCTCTGAGGAGAAAGATGTACTATTATCAGAATGGGGAAAGAGCTATGAAGTAGAAAAGAGAAACTTAACATTTCAAAGAATTGGGGGGGAGATCTATGACCAAAACCAAGTCCTGTGAATACCAATAAATCCTAACTCTTGGGATGCTGAGGTGAGAGGACCATGAGTTTAAGTCAAGCTTGAGCTAGAGATGATGTTTTAAACAAAACAAAAACAATTAACTACAAAAATCAGAGTTTCAACTACAAGTGCCTTAGAGGTTGCCTTGCCTTGAAGCAGTCATTGCTACTACCTCTGTAAGTCAGACTTCCTAAACTTGCATCTTTGAAGAGTAAACTGGTTAATATGATCCCACTATCCATTCTGGCCCTCTACTTCAATGGTTTCCAGGAGACAGCTTGTCATTTGAATCATGTCAGCTGGACCATCAAAACAAAAACAACAAAAAACTTGAGGTGTGAATGAAAGTGAAGGTGTATATAATTGAAATACCCTTGGGCCATTTTCACATCTTGCTTTTGCCAGTGACAGCCACAACAAGCAGATGGCTGTGCTGACAAGGACTGTGTCATTAACCCTAATGATAATTGATGATTTTTACAGCTGTTTACAAAGAGACTTCACACATGAAGAGGTTCTACTTGATCCCCAAAGCAGACTGAAAGGAAAGACTACTTATAACTAGTCTATCCTTTGTTCAACTGAAGAAACTAAGGTTTTTAAAAGTGGAGGATAGGGGCTGAGTTAGGACAGCAGTTAAGAGCACTTGTTGCTCTTCCAGGTCTGATTCCCAAACACCCACATGGCAGCTCACAAGAGTCTTTAATTCCACTTCCAAAGACTCTGACCCCCTCTTCTGGCCTCTGCAGGCACCAGACACACATGTGGTGCACAGACACATATGCTGGCAAAACACCCAATCAAGTAAAAAAGAAGTGAGAGGATTTGCCCAAAATCCTATAGTATAGATAAATAACAAGCCTAGGATTTGAATCCAAATGTTTGAATTCATAATTACTATTTCTTTTGGTTTAGGCTTATTCTGTTTCTCAAGACACTAACATACCCTGCCATGTTTCCCATTGGTGTCACAGAAAATTGAAATGAATTTTAAAAATTTGCATACTAACATTCTGACTTGATACTGACAATATATTTTGTTGAAATCTAAGAACAACCTTAATTTCCAAGTGATAAATGGTTCAATGAAATCTGAAGGCCGAAAACAGGATTAGAAATTACCAGTCACTTGTCCTACAAGGAAGTGTGTGTCAAAATGGAAGCCAAGAAGTCCTTCCAGTCCTCAGTTTAACACAATGCATTTTTACTCCCATGTGTGGCAATGTGGTGCTAAATAAACCACTGGCTGCCAGTCTAAAAGTATCTTGGCTAGATCACCTTGCTTTATGTAAGATAACTTAGGATGTTTACCAAATTGACTAAAGTCACCTAATAACATTTTGCAGAATTTACTTCAGAAAGCAATAAATGTATGAGTGTGTATACTTGAAGCAGCAGCATCCTCTTTCAGGGAAAAAAGGCTGATGGGAAGCAGAGCAAAAAACTGGAACACAAAGCCTTCGTCAACACTGAGCACTTACCTGGCTAAGTGCCCAGTCTCAAAATGGAGACCCATTTTGAGGCCATCCAGTGCTGCACAGCAGGACCCTGTCTCAATGAAGTGGTTCAAATGTAAGTAATGTGGGGGGTTTTGTGCTTGGCTTTACACACATTCACACCATGTACACTGCCTGCTAATGGTACTCAAATTTGCTGGAGCAAATTCCCCTGACAAATGGGAGGGCTTGTAATGATTCATGCCTCATTTTAGCACAAAGAGAAATAAGTGTATACAAAGAAAGAATCCATCAGCTGAAAGAGCCTCCATTACCAATCTTCTACCTACAAACACCATTCTAGACAAATTAAAACTAGGAAACTAAAAATATTAAAGAAAATATTTTGAAGAAAACCATACTGTCTATCCCCATTTTCCTCCTCTGGAAATATAGTAATGAGCCAGCAGGTGCTTACCACCAAACTTACATTTTATCACAAAGTTGCAAACTTTTTAATGTTTAAACAGAAGACTTCAAGGATAGATAAGAACATGCAAATGATACATATTAGGAAACTGCATGTCCCATCTGACAGTACGCAGGAAAATCTCATGAGGTTGACTGACATGCAACAATTGAGGTATTCAAAGACACAAAGGACAAAAGAAAAAATGAAGCCCTTTTGAGGTGACCAGATAATCCCATTTCCTTCCTTTGGGGCATATGGGAACGTCAGGCTCACACTGCTGTCTGCTAAGAAAAGGGAGAACTCATAGTAAGGAAGAGAATGAGTGAAGCCTTATGGTATACACAGAGGCTAAGGTGATGGAATTAGGGAAACAATTTAGTCAGTAAAGTGCTGCTTTGCAAGCATGGGGACATGAACTCAACTGCTAGAACCCTGCTTTTTTTTTAAAAAAAAACTTGTATGATGGTAGTACATGCTTATATTCCCATCACTAAGGTAGAAAGGAGCAGATCCCTGAGGCTCAATGACTAGCCATCCTAGCCTACTTAGCAAGTTCTAGGCCAATAAGAAACCCTGTCACCAAAACAAGGTGGAGAACCCTTTGACCTATTTGCACACACAAGGAGGCAAGGTGGGGGGTATACTAGAGTGAAGTATAGGAGAGTGCCAGGTGCTCAGTAGAAAAGGTCTGAGTTATAAGGCTAGGAGTTTCTAGAAAGCAGTGTGCACTGGATTTCCAAAGAAATATTTTATTTAGGGGTAGTTCCCCCAAAGTCCATGCCTAACTGAAAGAATCAATCATTTAAGTTGTCAGTAGGCTACTAAAAGGTAGCAGTGAATCTCCCCAGTGTTTTAGGGAGAAGCTCTGCCATCACAGGTCCAAAGGTGCCAGTTCTAGAGGATGACATGATCTGAAGCTAGTATAGCTCCTTGAGACATGGAGGTAGTATAAGAAGCATTAGAAATATAATAAAATAGAGCTAATATTTACGATGCTGGCACTGGAATTAGACTTTGAGACAAGCTTTTGGTTTGGTTTTGGTTTTTGTTTTATAGAGACAGGGTTTCTCTATAATAACCTTGGCTGTCGTGGAAGTTACTTTGTAGACCAGACTGGCCTCAAACACGCAGATCTCCACCTGCCTCTGCCTCCCAAGTGCTGAGATTAAAGGTGTGAGCCTCAACCACCCAGGGAGGCTTTCTTTTTGCATGCACGCATTCATGCATTCTAGTGATCAAACTCAGGTCATTGTATTA